TGCATTCCGGAAAACAGGCAAATTGTACTTTCTGACCTTTGACAAGGAATGCTCGGCGTCCCTTTGCCATGAAGTCAACTTTGTGACAGTGACAGTCCCTTCTAAATGTAAAAAAAATAAAATAAAAACAGAAAAAAAAGATTGAAATTGTATTTGTCGGCTATATCACAGCCTCTGCTACATTGAAATAAAAATATTTGGGGAAAAAAACGGGGTGGTGGGGTGATGAGGTTACCAAAACAATGGTCGGGTTTGTTGTTAGCACATACCTCTTCGTAGCAAATAAAACAATGGCCATATAATTCCCTTTGAATAACCGGCAATTTTGACATGATAGAAATTGAACGTTTATTTATTGATACTAACAGTGAGATGATTATTTGCTAATCTGATATTTTGTACTAGCCATGAGATCGGACATGACCAAGTGGCGCAGATGAGTGGCTCCAGTTGGCGAGAGCCCAGCCATGTGTTACTGAAAGAGATCAGTACGTCCTTTGGACATGACAAGGGCGGCAAAAATAGCCAGCCTTGCCTCCAGCCTCCCTTGTCAATCAAGTTGGCATGTGTACGTTTGTGTGTGTGGTGGGGGGGGGGGGTCTTGTATGTCCAGAAGAGGGACAAATATAACCCCTTCACACCTGCTCTTCAATATATTTTATGAGTGATAAAAAGTTCATAGCAAAGCCAAATGTCATCTTGCTCCCCCTCTACTGATATCAGTGGAGTACAGTAGAGCCACACACAAGTTTTTAGAAAGATAAGCTTTTAAGTCAACCAAAAACAAATAGCTAGAACCTTCGCCGCACGTGATGTCATGCGATATGTCGTATAATCTTGCGACACTTCAGCTCAGTGAGCAGCATTTTAACGGGGGTGGGCAAGCCTTTGTGTTAATTTACAAAACAGCCCGATGGTTCAGATCATTTGTAGATGAGCACAGTAAAAAAAAAAACAAAAAAAACATTTGAACTTTGCCCTCAGTTTTTTTTTTTAATGTGTGTGTGTGTGTGTGTGTGTGTGTGTGTGTGTGTGTATCCTTTGCCCACCCCTGATCTAAAGATTTAACTTGGATGTGTTTTGCTGCTCTTTGGCTTCCAACTGCCCACCCCATCTTTTTTACGATGCCACCACAAAAGTTTGCCAGTGATAGCATGACATGTAACATCAGAATTCGAATTTGATTGGAGTGCTTGAAGTGCGGTAAGTGTTTTTTTTCATGGTCAGCATAAATAATAAAAGAACAGATGGGAATGTAAACTGCCAAGTCAGCCATTCCGTCATAACGTAAAGAGACCACACTCGCGCGAAATCCTTCACGTCATCGTTAATGGTGACGTACAAATACGCCGCTTCAGATCCATCATGCCGTCGAAGTGTGGATGACTCAGTTTTACATCGACAGTTCTTCCCCCGCTATATCCCGGTTCACCTTTAGTAGTTGCGCTGTATCGTTAATTTTGCATTTGTATTGAACTTGTTTTAAAATGTTGAAATACTGTAAGTTTGGATATGATTATCTCGGGGGGGGGGGCTTTTGAGGTTTTTATATCTTTTCAAGACATTTTTGCTTGCAAATGTGCATATGGTCGCGCGCGTATGTGTGCATTCAAAAAGTTTGTATTAGTACATTTTAAGGTTTTGTAAGCGTGGCAGAGGGTATAAGAAGGCCTAAAATATGAAAGAAGAAATGTACTCTTGGGTGGGTGTGTGGTACGGTTATGGTAATAAACTTTAAAACAACAACTTACTACTTTAACACAACAATGCATAAAATCAGCATATGTTCTCTGGCTGTTTTTTTACTCTTAATTACACTTGCAGCACAACGTGGTACGACACAGAAGCCACATAACTCTACATTTGGACTTGTGGAAGTGTTTTAAAAAAATACTGGAACTAACATGAGAAGTGTTTGTAAAGGATGAACCAAGACAGCAGGAGATAAGTGGTGCAATGGACCAAACCCGTTACACGTGACTACTAGCATGTGTGGATTAAACATGCTGCCTTCACGTGAGCACATAGAATATTTTTTTTTCCACCAACCAATCCGCAGAATAAATTTGTACTGAACCGTGGGACGTAATCCGTACGCATCCCGCATCCATGATCCGTTGCACCACTCGCAGGGGAGCTTCAAGATTCCACTGTATACTGCTCACTCGATAACACGGTTCCAATTCTCCTTAAGATAGCCTCAACCCTCCATTTTTCAGTTTCCATAGCAGTGACGTGGACTTGTTTGCAGTTTATTGTTTTTGTTTGTGTTGAAGGACCTAACATGTGTGGGCATGCCTATACGTGTGCTGTTGGCGTGACAATGTGGGCACAACGATGTCCTCTTCCTTTTTTGACATTGTGGTGGCGTGCGGTCAGCTCGCATTTTGTCGCCAGGTTGTGGAGTGCGGCGTTGGGTTGACATTTAAGATTCAGGTGCTTTTATTGCGCTTGTGGTTTTTGCTGCTTTCTTAACTTCTCTCGTCTAGGTAGGGTTTTTTTTCCCCAGTTGTTAATGAATGGATTTGCTGTGTTCTGAAGACTGGATTGACGTATTTGTGGCGCCTTCAGGATTACCCGCTGCGGCTTACCTTTGACACCAGCGTGTGTTTCTCCTACAGGATCCCGGCTCACTATGTCTACCCTCAGGCCTTTGTCCAGCCCAGTATGGTGATCCCCCATGTGCAACCCTCAAGTGCCACGGCAACAGCTGCCGCGGCTGCCGCCGCCGCCACCTCTCCATACCTTGACTACACTGGAGCCGCTTATGCTCAGTACTCGGCTGCAGCTGCCACCGCTGCCGCAGCAGCTGCCGCCGCCTATGAGCAGTATCCATACGCGGCCTCCCCGGCCCCGACGGGCTACATGACCACAGCTGGCTACGGCTACACGGTCCAGCAGCCGCTCGCCACCGCAGCCACCCCGGGGGCCGCCGCAGCGGCCGCCGCCTTCAGCCAGTACCAGCCTCAGCAGCTGCAGACGGATCGCATGCAGTGAAAAGAAAATGCCGTGGTTGAGAGGTCATCACCCCGTGCGACTGGGATTGAGTTACGCTACAATGAGGGTTGTCCGCACAAGCTTTTAACTTGAAAAGTGAAGAGAATCACAGGACGTGCAAACAAATGCTGTATTTTATTCAAATTAGATCAGTATTTTTTTTTCATTATTTAATATTTATAAATCAGCAAAAAGATTGAATGTTAACTCGAGCAACAAAAGCAGACTAACTGAACCTCATTACTAATTTTTGTGTATATATTCTGGAAGTGTTCCCAAGTGCATTCATGTCTTATGATCAAGTGTCTTCGCCACTACTTTTATTTACCAAAAACGTGTATGAATATGAGTCAGTCACTCATGGTGCATTTTTCAGGATTTGTATTATCTGAATCTATGCAGACAGCTCCCTCTAGTTTCCCCTTAATTATGTACACTATTCAGAAAAATCAGGGCGATTGGGCTCTGGTGAAATTTCAGGACAAACCCGGAATGCACAAAACCTTGACAGATTCGAGCAATACATTTCCTGCCATCGTGATACCAAGATGACTCAACAATCAGAACCTCGCCATTGTAAGGCATTGAGCTGAGAGTCAGTGTTAACAGGTTGCAGATGAGTAACAGACTGGAAGAGTCACAGAAAGGCATTGAAGTGTTTGTCATGGATCAAGCACCCTTTGTGACGTTTGCCATTCAGCTCCTTGTTAGAGAACAACAGGTTATGTAAAAAGTACTGAAAAATGAACTGATGGGTATGCGCATTCAGAGATTAGAGAGGATTGAATTGAGTTCACCTGTGAAGAGTATTCCACATTTTAGATTCATCCTGAAATGTCACCCGAAAGCCCATTATTCCTAAATTTGTGAGTAGCATACATGTTTTTTTTTCCATAGCGGTTTAAATAAATAGCTGAGATCGAAGCTGGAAAAACATTCACTTTCCTCACTCATCAATTGCACATCAAGCAAGCTCAGCAAAAAAGGTTTTTGAATGTGAATCATTTTGTTTCCGAATGTGCCTTTTAAATTATGCTATTTATGTATTTATTATTAAAGCTTACAAAAATAAACAATATTTTTTTGTGTTTAGTTAGGTCCGCTACAACGTTCATCAAGAGCATGGCATGGATGCTTAAGACAGTGCTACAATTTGTATAAAGAACAAAATATGGGTGGAACAGTAGCAATAATTTGTGTAGATTTGTAATGTTTATCTTGTAGACTTAAATGTTGCCTTTTTTTAATGTATATTCAGTATTTGACCACTTTGATAAGGAAGCTCATAAACTTGAACCATTTACTGTCATCTGACACTGAATGTGAAGTGCAAAGGTATTTTGCCTTGCATTTTACAATGCATTATTCAAGAAAAGCGTCGTTGGAAGTTTGTATGTAAAACAAAGGGAAACCATACCAACAAAATGTTAATTATTCTGTGTATTTTTGCTATCAGGCTCCGAATTCATGTCAATATTTTGTATGAACGGAAATAAAAGTACACTAAAGACTGCCCACTGAGGAAGTTTTAGTTGTTTTCCTGCGATTGGCGGCTATTTATAGTCTTCCAATTAGTTAGACGTATTGAACAACACCCATGTTTGGAAATAAGACCTTTTAAAGTTGTTTTTACTTGAAGCACTATGACCTCTAGGTCTCCCCCCTTTATGGCAGGTGCCTCTGCTTCCTGGGGCGCAGACAACAACATTGCTACTACATTTGTTCCTTTCCTCTTTCACCAAAACATCATCTCGGTGCCTGTGCGTGCTCCAGAATTGGGCACTCAACCACAGCGACAATTTTACGTCTACTACAATGACACCATTAATATTGCAAATCACATATTATTATAGCTACACGCTTTTGTAACTAGTTCCTTTTCAAATAAAAGTACTAAAGTTACAAAATTGACCAATAAAAGTGTAAAGTGTATTAATTGAGCTGCGAATATCAGGTACAGAAAACGGACGGATGAATTACGAGACCCGGAAATGAGCATACACGTGACCCTGACGTCATTACCCTGTTGTCGACGGCGTCTGCGTGGAGTTTGATGAACACAAACAGGAAGTCTAGATTCGGTTGCAACCGATAATGGCCACCGATAAAACTGCATACACTCTACTGGACGAAGAACTCCCGCTGCCGCAGACGTCGTTTGCGCCCGCATCAGCGCCGAATGTGTTCTTGGGCTCTCCCGGGGGTCTCCCTCTCCCTACGCCTGCAGCTGCTTTTGGGCCTGGTGTACCTGGAGATTTCGGTATGAGCAACCAAGCATCCTCGCCGTATTCTCCACCTGCCTATGGCTTTCACGACAACATATGCGGTAAGCAGGTGCTTGCGTGTCCCCCCCCCCCGCCCCCCCCCCCCCCCCGTTGACTTCCAAATAGGTGAATGTATGTGTTGTCTCTTATGATTGGTGGCAGACACTTCAGGTGATGCTTTCCACAATGAGGAGGACCCGCCACCATTTCATGATAACCACGACTTCGGTTTCGGTTTGGATAACAAAACCATAAGAAGAGCTTTCATTCGGAAGGTAGGGGGCACTGTAACACAGTGAGAAAGTGTTACAGCCAAACAACAAACTATGAGAATTAACCAGTCAATGCCGACGCACAGTGCAAAATGCCATAGATGGGTTAACTAATAACATCTATGTCTCGGTGTATGACGTCAATGATGAAACAACACATGTAGACAGATGATCTAACAATTCTCATTCATGAATTATTTACTCTGTACAAAAGCAACTAATATTACTGAAGCCTACTAGGCTCGCAAGCTACCCCCAATAAGAAAGTGGGTCTGGAAACAACATCCAGTCAAATTAGTTTATTTGCTGTGACGTATCCTTGGTGCGCAATGTCACTCTTCAGCGGTGAAAGTCCATCCTCATTCATAATGGCGCACGGGACAGATGATAGTTTGTTAACATCATTCAGCATTACATCAGTTTTAAATAACCAGAAACACATTCAAGCCCCAGTAGCTGAAGGCATTGTAAGCATTTAATTCCAAATATATATAATTTTTCCCCAATGTCACGTCCGCTATTCGCTGATTGGTTCATTTCGCTGTCTGTTTGCTCATGTTTGCCCCGCCTCGGAAATGCGCTTGATGAGACGACGACTCGCCGGTACAGCCATGAGTCAGAATTTTTTTTTTTTTTTTTTTATAGATTTTCGAGAGGAGTGTGTTTTGAGTTCCAAGCATAAAATTAAAGTCGTACATGAAGGTACAACCTCCAGTATGTGTACTAATATGCATACAAACTATTAAAATGTATTCATATCACATGTTGATATGAATTATGGTTGGCCCTATTACTCACGTAAAACTTTCACACTTGTCTTACAACATTCAACTCTCTTAAAATAAGCAATCAAAAAAAAAAAAAAAAAAAAAACAAGTGTCATTGTGATTTCCAAAATGTATCTTAAAAAATATAAGTCTTGAAATTGACACCAAAATCATGTTTCTTCCCATCTGAAAATGTGTTTTGATTGGACTTGAGATGAATTGAGTGAAGTCAAATTCCACCTGCTTCTTTCACCCCGCAGGTGTTCTTGGTGCTAACTGCTCAACTGGTGGTGACGTTCTCCTTTGTGGTGCTTTTCATCTCTGTGGACGAAATTAAGTTGTTCGCGAAAGAAAACATCTGGGCCTATATTGTGTCCTACGTTACATTCTTTGTGTGCATGTGCGCCATCAGCTGCTGTGGAAACCTCCGCAGGCAACATCCGTGGAACCTGATTGCATTAGTAAGCCATGTTTTATTTTCCTGTTTTGTTCTAAATGGTGAACACTGATGGGAGGAGTGGTTTTTTTTTTCAATCTGATCTGGATTCTTGGATGAAAATTATGTAAAGGTTGTGCTTTGATGTATATCGCATTAAAGGTGTGGCAAACGTTTATAAATGATATCTCTTACTTAAGCTATAATTATTAAGATATCAAGACTCAAAACAGGCTGTTGGTTCCAAATTGTAACAAGTATTTTCTCTTATTTTCAGTCCATCCTGACCCTCAGTATTTCGTATATGGTGGGAATGATTGCCAGCTTCCATGAAACTGACATCGTGGTCATAGCATTGGGCATCACAGCTGTGGTCTGCTTCACTGTGGTTATCTTTTCTCTCCAGGTTGCTATCTGCCACTCACACGCGGCACTACTAGTTGAAGCAGCAGTATAACTTAAAACGGCATGCTTGTCATCTCTCCACAGACCAAGTATGATTTCACTTCTTGTTATGGCGTGATGTTCGTCTGCTGCGTTGTCCTCATCCTCTTCAGCCTGCTGTGCATCATCATGCGTGACAGGATCATGCACATTGTGTATGCTGGACTTGGAGCCTTGCTCTTCACCTGTGTAAGCCCTCTTGCAAACACACGCGCACATGCACGCCTCCTGATTTCTGATGGATTTCGGGAGTTTTTTTTACCGTATTCGTTTTCTTGTTATTATATCAAGAACCAAATTCTCAATTTTCTTTAAAAAAAAAAAAAAAAAAAATTGGTGTTCTTTATACATATTGGGCCACACAGATCCACTTTAAATGTTTTCATGGGTAGGTTCATTTCATGGGACACATCATTCCCACTGTAGGGCCCACCGTACACTTGTTCACGCGACTGAAGCAGTCAGAATTGCAGTCGTGTTTGTAGTTTTGCTGCGACTCAAAATTTTAAACTTCAGTGAATGACATTGCAATGCCGCAGATGTAACAGTCAATCAAAAACACTGATGAGCTTTCAATGGAAAATAGAAACAAATGTACAAATTATGTGACCATTTCTGCATCCCGCTGTAGATGAATTCAGAGACTTCTTTCATTTGTTACAGTTCTTGGCAGTGGACACCCAGCTGCTGCTTGGCAACAAGGAATTGTCCTTGCATCCTGAAGAATTTGTCTTTGCTGCACTTAACCTGTATATGGACATCATCAACATCTTTCTCTACATTCTTGCTATTTTGGGAAAGGCCAGGGGCAGCTGAGCTCAAGAGAGTCATAGAAAATCATGTCAGAATACTATTTTTTGTTAATTGTGTTCGTTGAAGTGAGGTCTTGTAGTAGGATTTTTTTTTTAAGTTGCTTTCACTGATCAAAAGACTGTGGTGAATTGTCTTTTCTTCACCTGGCCTTTTATAAAATCAAATTGTTATTCAGTGGTGATACGTATTATGAAAGGAATATGTAGATTGATTGTAATATTTTGCCTCATTAAACCTTTCCTAAGTACATTACAGTCAGTTCAAAAATGTGTTCTATTGAAATAGATCATACCTTTGACCAATTACTAATATTTACATGTGTGTTTCAGAAGTGTGCTCTTAATATTGGACAGTTAAATTAGAAATCAGGAAGATATAAAGCAGGGGTGCCCAACCTTTTTTGAACCGAAGATCTACTTTTCAAGCCAACCAACCTTCCCCGATCGACCGTTACTGCACGTGCACGCATACACACGCGCACGCATGCCATGATGAGCTACAGCTATAACGGCCCCTAACATGAATGAAACGTTAAAGTAGATTAAACAGTTTGGGAAAAAGAAGTCACTGCCAACCTTTAGTGGGAGACCTGACAGGGAGGCATGAGGCACACTTTTGCAGCGTGCTATATGCATGAACATCACAATCGTAGCTCGTGTATCGTTTTAAAAATGCTTCTAGCGCTCCATGTTCCCAGTCTTTGCCGGTATCATCGGTGAATTGCAGATGAAACAAACTAAATGAGAAGAATATTATACAATGATCCCTCACTATTTCGCGGTTCGTTTATCACGGCTTCAGTGCATCGCGGATATTAAAATATATATATATA